TGGCATTCCGTTGAACCCAACCATTGGACCATTGGATTATTCCAGATCAACTTGGTGAAGGCCAAACTCCTTGTAACAGCTGACATACATGATGTCACAAGAGCTGCCTTGGTCGATTAGAATGCACTTTACCTGGGACTTTCCAATCTTGAGGGATATTACCAAGGCATCGTTGTGTGGATGCTACACCATTTCTAGGTCATCTTCAGTAAAGGACACCATTGGTCCTTGGCACTCGTCTGCCCTAGGTCTCTTCTGCTGGACCTGATACATATGTTGTAAGTGTCTCACCTTCTGAGTTTCCCCACGTATCTCATTCTCATTGACCTTCGAGTGAATCACATTGATCACTCGAGGTCCACCTGCTTGCGGTTGTGGTGCTGGTGAAGGTGGTGCTGCTGGTGGTTAAGGCAGTCTCGCTTGCTCTTCCCTTGTCCGGGCCTCATCTACCAGGTCCCTTAAATGACCTTATCTTACCAGGTCTTCCAGATGTGCCTTTAGGGCTCTACACCCTTGAGTCAGATGCCCATCCTCATTGTGGTAGGCACAGCGCTTCCCCAGACTTCTTCCCATAAATTTGCCAGGAATCTTCTACGGTGTTCTATAATAGGGCTAATTCCAGATTTTTTCCAAGACTTTGTAAACCGGAATTCGGAATACGGTAGTGACTGCCTGTGCAGCCCTCAGTCCTGTCTCTTGCTTGTTGTATCTAGTATTACCTCGGCTTCGCTTCGGTGAGCCGTTTCTTTTCTCTTGTTTTGATGCCTTTGTCCCTAGTGTGTATTCCTCGGCTCTCACATACTTCTCGATCCTGGCCATGAGTTCCTCCATACTTTTTGGCAGTGTCTTTGCCAGTGATTTTTGAAGCAGACAGTCATCGTTCATGCCGTTCTTAAAAGACACGACCGCCACCTCTTGGTTGCACCCTGGTATTCGGTTAATCACCTCATAATACCTTTTGGCATAAGCTTTGAGGCTTTCATCCTCGCCAATTCTCAGAGCCATCAGGGAGTCTACCCTCAACGACTGTAGTTTGTTTGCCACAAACCTGGCCACGAACATCTCAGCCAGGCCTTCCCAGCTTTTCACAGTTCCTTTCAGCAACTTGTGAAACTAGTCTGATGCAATTTTCCCAAAGGATGAGGGAAACACCTTGCAGAGCAACGGCTCGTTCCCGGTGTACAATGCCATTGAGTTTAGGTACAATCCGACGTGAAAGTTAGGGTCAGACTTTCCATCGTATATCTGGAATCTCGGCATATGGAAACTTTTCGGGGCCTCAGATTTGTCTAATTCTACCAAAAACAGCATTCTTGGCTTGACCGGAGAGGTCACCTCAGCATCTTGCCACTTTCTCTGGAGGTAATCTCTCAAATCCTCCTTGGTCCGTCTAGGAGCTTGGCTGTTAACAAATTTCAGCCTTTTTGGTGCGCTACTCCCGGTGTCGTTATGAGTCCTCTTGGACCTCTCTCTATTAGTTGCATCGAAACAAAGCTCATTCCATTGAACATGCTGATGTTCTTTGGGGTCAGCTTTGGTATGATGTGTCTTTCGAGACTCTCCCTTCATTGACTCTCTTCGTCCGACCTCCCGTGAAGGCCGGTGAGAGTGCTCCTTGGTCCTGGTGTACTGAGGGACTGCAGGAACTGTTTTCTGCTCCTCTTTCTGGGCATCCTTCTTGACCGCTGGAATAGGCGTGTCTTGTAACGGAAACGGTGGCTGCATGATGTTGTTCTGCATCAGAAATTGACGACCAATTGCAGGTCCGCCAATTTGTTCGCCATTCCTTTCATTTCTTCATCCCTTCCCAGGCATCTATCTTTCCACACCTGGAGGTCATTCTCGTTATAATACTTGCCTCGGTCTGCCTTCTTTGGTACGTCTCCCTCTTGGCTGATGTCTTTCTCTTCGGGATTATTATCCCGAGTTTCTTCGTTGCAGTTATCCTCCTCTACGTTAGGGTCAATGTGTTTACCACTTATAGTAGGGATGTCGTCCCCAATTTTCTCTTTCTGTCTGTCATTGGCCATTTATTCTCCTTTTTTTCCCACAGACGACACAAAATTGTGTGTGTTAATTTCTAACCACACTGCCAAACAGGTACTTAGCTGGAGAACACTAGCAAAATAGATAGCGCCCGAACGACCTGTCACAGAAAGATAAGACTCCGGCGGTGGATCGTCCACTTGGGGGCACTCTGACGAGCAAATCAGTACTCAATTATCTCTCAAAGATAGTGAGCAGTGCTTTAACTCACTAGTCAGAATACAAAAAAGCGTACCTTAGACCCACAAGGGTGCTTTTCTTTTATAGCTTGCACTAACCTGATCCTTGTAAAAGCTTAGCTTCTCTTGAACTCTGGCCCAATACTCTTCCTTGACTCTCCAATAGATAAAGATAAACTCCCTAAGAGCTTTATCCTTATCTAGGCTGAGGTCCTCCTTCATTCTAGGACTCTTATAGCTTATTTGTTCATCCCGAATTCTGGTATCTTCACAGATAACCTCGGCCTAGCAGATCACCTCGGTGCCAAGACTAGGACACATGGCACCTCGGCTGGTACTTCAGTGCCACCTTAGCCACGTGTTGTCATTCACAAAATATGTCCCCACACATACATATAATATATATTTTTATTATGTCAAAAGATGATATATTTAGTTAAATTAAATAAATTTATTTTTCTATTACATCTCATGTCAATTTAAATCTTTTCCTTTTCTTAATATTTTAATTTACAGTAATCTTATCACTCTGTTTGACAACTATCTTAACAAGTCTTCATTGTACACAATCAAATTATCATGGAATGTTCTTTTTTAACTCCATTTCAAATGGTGCTATTATCATTTCACAAATATTTTCACTTCTTAAATGTCTTTCCTAATCTTATTACCACATATTTATTTAATTATCCTTATCTTGCCTGCATTTGGTTTATGTTCGTGTTGTTTATTGTTATTAAATAGAATTTTCTTTTCAGTTTTATTGGTGTTTGTCGATTACATGATATGTCAAAAGCATTTCTCTACTTGAGTCAACTTATTTTAATTCTATGGATCACATTATCTTTACCTTTCCATCCTTAATAATCAAACCTAAGTAACAAAAATATTCACTATTCGTTATTTCTTGAAATTTAATTTCATGTTTCCAATATTTTTACTTCTATTGTTACTAAAATAATATTCCATATATTCAATTTTATTTCTACTAATTTTAAATTATTTTAATTTGACGGTTTCTCTTTATATTTTTAATTTAGTTTTTTTGTTAGTTTCCGTTGCAAAATTTTAGAAGTGAATGATAATTGACTCCATTTGAATAAAAGGATGCAATCCTTCATGGTGTCTATTCATATAAAAGGGTGTGAACTCAAGAGATATGACCATTCTAAAGGTCACAAGTACTTTTATAAATACCATCTCATCCCATGACATCGATACATAGTTAAGGTTTGTTTAGGACTTATACATGATCTCTAGTCGAGTGTATAATAGAAAGTGCATGGCACAAATTGGTTCGCTGCATACACAGAAAGTTGTGCAATTTTTATGTGGGGTGATCGTTGTATCCTAGAGGTAGGACGTCTATTAATCACAAACACCAGAGACGAGGGCGAAATTCCGTCTTAAAGACACAGTGTTCAAACACTGGTCTCGGTCACAATCTGTATTAAATTTACAGAATTTCTGTAAGAAATTTATTGTGTTCTATTTTATTATTTATTTGCATTAAATTTATTTTTTTGAAAATATTTTTCCTACAATTTTAAGACAGAATTTCTATCAATAGTGATATAGATTAATTCTTTTCGATTAAATTAATTTTTTTATAAATTTGATTTCCTGCAAAATGTGGTTCATGTTTACAATAAAACTCTTATTGTTGTTTACTGTTATTATTCATGAGTAATAGAATCCATTAACGTTCATAATTTTAATCCAAAAATGTGTCTCAGTAGAATACTAGTACTTGTTTATCTTTTGCGTTACACTGTTTTTTACAATGAGTGTCACATATTATTTGTTATTATTTTTTTAAATATTTAATTTGTATAATTATATTATACAAATTCCAGACTATTTGATATAACCAAAACTATTTGTTTGAACAGAATTGTTGGTAATGCTTTTCTATAATTCTTAAATTATATTTTGTACATTGAATTCAATTTCTCTTCCATTCAATTGTTCTTCACAGTTCTTAAAATCATTTCTTCTTGTATGCCACAGTGCACATATGTCTCATAAGTTATTTGCCTTATGTTTTCTATCATCTGTCAAATCACTTGGGATTTATTAAACATTATAATGAATTAATATGGTTATACATATTGATCCAGTTATATGTATTTTCGTAGTTATGGTTAAACAGTTTATTTTAGACTAAATCTGATTTTGTTTTTGTTGTTATTTATTATTTACAGAATTTCTGATATGTTTCTATACAGAATATTTTTTTATTTCTTGATTTGAATTGGTATTATCTGTTTCACGTATGGTTATACAGATTTATTGTTAGAGGTGGTTGATTTCACAAATTGTCTAACTTTATTTCTTTGTTTATATGTTAACATCATTTCAATGAAAAGGTGCAATTCATTGTGTATGGAGAGCATTGACGTATGGGTAATGATTGTTTATTTGGCTTTTCTTATTTTTTCAAATTTGTTCCATTATCTTTTAACAGATTTTGTATTTTATGCTTTCTGGGCTTTGTGAATTATAATTGGGTTTTATGTGTATAGATTTGTTGGAATCTGTTAAGTTAGCACTACAGGAAAATAGGGATTTAACGGCGTTTAATTAACGGCGTTTTAGTAAACGTCACCTTTTTTAATAATTAACGGCGTTTTTTAAACGCCGCATTTGTTATTAGTTAAAACGGTACCGTTTTGTGAATCAAGACGTTTGAAAACCGCCTCCAAATCCTGTCTCTCTCCACACCCTCTTCTGTCTCTCCAAACCTTTATTTTGAAAACCCTATTTTGAGCACAGCCGTCACTCACTCACTCTCTTGCTCACTCTCTCATCTCTTGCTCTCTCTTTCTATCAGAGGTTCGATTGTTCTTCAGTCTCTTACTCAGTTATTCTTCTTCGATTCTTCTTCAGTTCGGTGATTCTTCTTCGAATTCGAAGTTCGATTTTGAGCAGTGCTCCGTGATTTATCTCCATGGATTTGGAACTATTCGTCTTCTTCGATCAGAGGTTAGTTGTTCTGTTTGTGATTTATCTCTGTTTCGGATCAATGTTTTTCTTAGTGAATACTTTTGTTTAGGGCTCTATATAGGTCTTAAGCCCGGGCTCTCGATTCTTCTTCACTCTCTTACTCGGTGATTTTTCTTCGATTCTTCTTCTGGTTGGTGATTCATCTCGGGATTGCGATATCGAAGTTCGATTTTGAGCATAGCTCCGTGGTTGATCTCCGTGGATTTGGAACTCTTTGGCTTCTTCGATCAGAGGTTAGTTGTTTTGTTTGTTTGTGATTTATACAATATGATTTGGATCAGTGTTTTGAAAAATTGGTCTAAGTGATTTCATCTCTATTTCAGTAATTGTTTTTCACTGATGTGTTGCTCTGCACTATGAGATCTAGATTGTGCTTTCAGTAATTGCTCTCAGTGATTTCATCTATGTTTAAATTATGTTCGATCTGTCATCGATGTGGTTTTGAAGAACAGCCAACTATTGATGAAGGACTACATCACAACTGCTATTTGGTTTTCTAATTCTTTCGGAAGCAGTGTCATGATATTAATTGGATGTTGTGCCTTGTCTATTGTTTTTCTTTCTTGGAACTGTTATGTGGGTTGAATGTTTAGATAGGTTAAAATCTGCAAGATCATAAGATTGTGTTTAATTCATCTCATGGTGATGATGGCAAATTGAACAGTTAATTCACTTCTTTCATAAATTTTAGCAATTTATTCATTTTATAGCAATCATGCAACAAAAAAGGTATTAGTTAATATTATGTTTTATGGACTACTTGCCTTTAACAAAATCTTGTATTTTAAATTTTAATACCGTTCAGGTTTAGCACCTTTCAGTACCGTGCTATGTACTCTTGCAAAATCATCTCTTCATTGTTTGTGCTATTTTTTGTTTTTTTTTTATAAATAATTTTCATTTTAAATGAATGGGGTGGGACTACTGTAACCCATGCAGATTATGAGGGGTTTAAATCTATAATTGTTGGCATCTTTTGCTCAAGACCAGAGAGGAAGGTTATCATTCAGGGAGGAGAGTTGAGCTGTTATTTCTTCTTTTTCTTATTTATTTATTTGCCTTTGTGCAACACTTGTAAAATAATGAAAATTTGCAGGTAGCTGCAGTACCCGAGGATGTTGGCACAACTGTTGCTCTTCGGGCCATTGGTCACTACCTGACTGCACATGATATCTTGGTTGGAGTTCTCAACTTTTGTGCATTATGGTTCTGTTGGAATTTATGGCTATTAATTCTTTATGCTTCTGCAGGTTGTGAGTGGCGATCTTGTTTGTGATGTTCCCCCAGGGGCAGTGGCTGCTGCTCATAGGCGACATGATGCCGTACTGACCGCAATGCTTTGCTCTGCTCGTGTCAGTGGACCATCAGAGTCTGGTTCTGCTGGTGGAAAGGACAAAGGCAAGAAACCAGGACGCTATAATATTATAGGGCTGGATCCCACACAACAATTTCTTTTGTTCATAGCAGCTGGTTAGATCTCTATACATATTTATACATCCATATTGTGATCTTAATTAAAAAACAAACATTTATGTATCATGTACAGAGAATCCTAGGAGTTGAAGTTGAGAAAGATATTAGAGTTCAGAAGAGCATTCTCCGTGCAGTGGGGCAGGTCTGTAAATCTCCTTTGTTAGAAAAATATTCTTCAGTGCGTAGTGCAATGACTGAGATGAGTTTCTTCATTTATTTATTGGTTGTTGTCCCTTGTTATTTGTTTACTTTCTAAATTAATTCCTTGCTGTCTATGCCCATGGGCCCACCTTAATAAACAAATTCCTTGCCGTCTATGCTCATGGGGCCACCTTTTTTTTTTGGGGGGGGGAGGAAGGGGGGCCGCACTGCAGAGGAATGTTTGCAGTCAAAGATGTTACTGGTGACCTTCATATTAATCTTCTCTAGTTGTCTTTGTACCCAAGAAAAAGGAAAAAAAGAATTTAATTGTTGTCACATGCTGAGTGCATTCTTCTCTTTTCCCTAAATTTTCATGCTTCCATTGCATCTGCATGTGCAAGCAAATGACTTAACCTATTTTTTCTTTTTATTTTTTGATTGTGTTTGTTTGATTTTGGTTTAGACACAATCATGTAATTTTATTTAGTCAATATATTGAATTTTATTTAGTCAATATATTGAAGTAGCATAAATTGTTTGTTCACCGGGCTCTCTGCATTCCTTTGTGTTGACTGGGATTTGGGAATGTATCCTGCTCAAAATTGTCTTTTGTTGTACATGAACCTATTATGATTAATTGAATACGAATCCCTATTCTGCAGTGTAATGATGTGTAATATGCTTGACTATTCCATTGCATCTGCATGTGCAAGCAAATGACTTAACCTATTTTTTCTTTTTATTTTTTGATTGTGTTTGTTTGATTTTGGTTTAGACACAATCATGTAATTTTATTTAGTCAATATATTGAATTTTATTTAGTCAATATATTGAAGTAGCATAAATTGTTTGTTCACCGGGCTCTCTGCATTCCTTTGTGTTGACTGGGATTTGGGAATGTATCCTGCTCAAAATTGTCTTTTGTTGTACATGAACCTATTATGATTAATTGAATACGAATCCCTATTCTGCAGTGTAATGATGTGTAATATGCTTGACTATTCCATTGCATCTGCATGTGCAAGCAAATGACTTAACCTATTTTTTCTTTTTATTTTTTGATTGTGTTTGTTTGATTTTGGTTTAGACACAATCATGTAATTTTATTTAGTCAATATATTGAATTTTATTTAGTCAATATATTGAAGTAGCATAAATTGTTTGTTCACCGGGCTCTCTGCATTCCTTTGTGTTGACTGGGATTTGGGAATGTATCCTGCTCAAAATTGTCTTTTGTTGTACATGAACCTATTATGATTAATTGAATACGAATCCCTATTCTGCAGTGTAATGATGTGTAATATGCTTGACTATTCCATTGCATCTGCATGTGCAAGCAAATGACTTAACCTATTTTTTCTTTTTATTTTTTGATTGTGTTTGTTTGATTTTGGTTTAGACACAATCATGTAATTTTATTTAGTCAATATATTGAATTTTATTTAGTCAATATATTGAAGTAGCATAAATTGTTTGTTCACCGGGCTCTCTGCATTCCTTTGTGTTGACTGGGATTTGGGAATGTATCCTGCTCAAAATTGTCTTTTGTTGTACATGAACCTATTATGATTAATTGAATACGAATCCCTATTCTGCAGTGTAATGATGTGTAATATGCTTGACTATTCCATTGCATCTGCATGTGCAAGCAAATGACTTAACCTATTTTTTCTTTTTATTTTTTGATTGTGTTTGTTTGATTTTGGTTTAGACACAATCATGTAATTTTATTTAGTCAATATATTGAATTTTATTTAGTCAATATATTGAAGTAGCATAAATTGTTTGTTCACCGGGCTCTCTGCATTCCTTTGTGTTGACTGGGATTTGGGAATGTATCCTGCTCAAAATTGTCTTTTGTTGTACATGAACCTATTATGATTAATTGAATACGAATCCCTATTCTGCAGTGTAATGATGTGTAATATGCTTGACTATTCCATTGCATCTGCATGTGCAAGCAAATGACTTAACCTATTTTTTCTTTTTATTTTTTGATTGTGTTTGTTTGATTTTGGTTTAGACACAATCATGTAATTTTATTTAGTCAATATATTGAATTTTATTTAGTCAATATATTGAAGTAGCATAAATTGTTTGTTCACCGGGCTCTCTGCATTCCTTTGTGTTGACTGGGATTTGGGAATGTATCCTGCTCAAAATTGTCTTTTGTTGTACATGAACCTATTATGATTAATTGAATACGAATCCCTATTCTGCAGTGTAATGATGTGTAATATGCTTGACTATTCCATTGCATCTGCATGTGCAAGCAAATGACTTAACCTATTTTTTCTTTTTATTTTTTGATTGTGTTTGTTTGATTTTGGTTTAGACACAATCATGTAATTTTATTTAGTCAATATATTGAATTTTATTTAGTCAATATATTGAAGTAGCATAAATTGTTTGTTCACCGGGCTCTCTGCATTCCTTTGTGTTGACTGGGATTTGGGAATGTATCCTGCTCAAAATTGTCTTTTGTTGTACATGAACCTATTATGATTAATTGAATACGAATCCCTATTCTGCAGTGTAATGATGTGTAATATGCTTGACTATTCCATTGCATCTGCATGTGCAAGCAAATGACTTAACCTATTTTTTCTTTTTATTTTTTGATTGTGTTTGTTTGATTTTGGTTTAGACACAATCATGTAATTTTATTTAGTCAATATATTGAATTTTATTTAGTCAATATATTGAAGTAGCATAAATTGTTTGTTCACCGGGCTCTCTGCATTCCTTTGTGTTGACTGGGATTTGGGAATGTATCCTGCTCAAAATTGTCTTTTGTTGTACATGAACCTATTATGATTAATTGAATACGAATCCCTATTCTGCAGTGTAATGATGTGTAATATGCTTGACTATTCCATTGCATCTGCATGTGCAAGCAAATGACTTAACCTATTTTTTCTTTTTATTTTTTGATTGTGTTTGTTTGATTTTGGTTTAGACACAATCATGTAATTTTATTTAGTCAATATATTGAATTTTATTTAGTCAATATATTGAAGTAGCATAAATTGTTTGTTCACCGGGCTCTCTGCATTCCTTTGTGTTGACTGGGATTTGGGAATGTATCCTGCTCAAAATTGTCTTTTGTTGTACATGAACCTATTATGATTAATTGAATACGAATCCCTATTCTGCAGTGTAATGATGTGTAATATGCTTGACTATTCCATTGCATCTGCATGTGCAAGCAAATGACTTAACCTATTTTTTCTTTTTATTTTTTGATTGTGTTTGTTTGATTTTGGTTTAGACACAATCATGTAATTTTATTTAGTCAATATATTGAATTTTATTTAGTCAATATATTGAAGTAGCATAAATTGTTTGTTCACCGGGCTCTCTGCATTCCTTTGTGTTGACTGGGATTTGGGAATGTATCCTGCTCAAAATTGTCTTTTGTTGTACATGAACCTATTATGATTAATTGAATACGAATCCCTATTCTGCAGTGTAATGATGTGTAATATGCTTGACTATTCCATTGCATCTGCATGTGCAAGCAAATGACTTAACCTATTTTTTCTTTTTATTTTTTGATTGTGTTTGTTTGATTTTGGTTTAGACACAATCATGTAATTTTATTTAGTCAATATATTGAATTTTATTTAGTCAATATATTGAAGTAGCATAAATTGTTTGTTCACCGGGCTCTCTGCATTCCTTTGTGTTGACTGGGATTTGGGAATGTATCCTGCTCAAAATTGTCTTTTGTTGTACATGAACCTATTATGATTAATTGAATACGAATCCCTATTCTGCAGTGTAATGATGTGTAATATGCTTGACTATTCCATTGCATCTGCATGTGCAAGCAAATGACTTAACCTATTTTTTCTTTTTATTTTTTGATTGTGTTTGTTTGATTTTGGTTTAGACACAATCATGTAATTTTATTTAGTCAATATATTGAATTTTATTTAGTCAATATATTGAAGTAGCATAAATTGTTTGTTCACCGGGCTCTCTGCATTCCTTTGTGTTGACTGGGATTTGGGAATGTATCCTGCTCAAAATTGTCTTTTGTTGTACATGAACCTATTATGATTAATTGAATACGAATCCCTATTCTGCAGTGTAATGATGTGTAATATGCTTGACTATTCCATTGCATCTGCATGTGCAAGCAAATGACTTAACCTATTTTTTCTTTTTATTTTTTGATTGTGTTTGTTTGATTTTGGTTTAGACACAATCATGTAATTTTATTTAGTCAATATATTGAATTTTATTTAGTCAATATATTGAAGTAGCATAAATTGTTTGTTCACCGGGCTCTCTGCATTCCTTTGTGTTGACTGGGATTTGGGAATGTATCCTGCTCAAAATTGTCTTTTGTTGTACATGAACCTATTATGATTAATTGAATACGAATCCCTATTCTGCAGTGTAATGATGTGTAATATGCTTGACTATTCCATTGCATCTGCATGTGCAAGCAAATGACTTAACCTATTTTTTCTTTTTATTTTTTGATTGTGTTTGTTTGATTTTGGTTTAGACACAATCATGTAATTTTATTTAGTCAATATATTGAATTTTATTTAGTCAATATATTGAAGTAGCATAAATTGTTTGTTCACCGGGCTCTCTGCATTCCTTTGTGTTGACTGGGATTTGGGAATGTATCCTGCTCAAAATTGTCTTTTGTTGTACATGAACCTATTATGATTAATTGAATACGAATCCCTATTCTGCAGTGTAATGATGTGTAATATGCTTGACTATTCCATTGCATCTGCATGTGCAAGCAAATGACTTAACCTATTTTTTCTTTTTATTTTTTGATTGTGTTTGTTTGATTTTGGTTTAGACACAATCATGTAATTTTATTTAGTCAATATATTGAATTTTATTTAGTCAATATATTGAAGTAGCATAAATTGTTTGTTCACCGGGCTCTCTGCATTCCTTTGTGTTGACTGGGATTTGGGAATGTATCCTGCTCAAAATTGTCTTTTGTTGTACATGAACCTATTATGATTAATTGAATACGAATCCCTATTCTGCAGTGTAATGATGTGTAATATGCTTGACTATTCCATTGCATCTGCATGTGCAAGCAAATGACTTAACCTATTTTTTCTTTTTATTTTTTGATTGTGTTTGTTTGATTTTGGTTTA